AGTCTCCTGCCTCAGCCTCCCAAGTAGCTGGGACCACAGGTGCCTGCCACAATGCCCGGCTATTTTTTGGTTGCAGCCATCATTGTCGTTTGGCGGGCCTGGGCTGGATTTGAACCCGCCACCTTAGATGCATGTGGCTGACGCCTTAGCCGCTTGAGCCATAGGCTCTGAGCCTCAATCAGTCTTTTACTACCACAAATTATATGGTTGACCAGTTGAGTTTCCCACATCTGGGGAAATAGCAGGGATCAGCATATACAGGTGCTCACCCTAGGAAAAGCACCTTCATGACCATGGTATTTCCCCTTCCAGGTAAATATGAACAATGGGATTCTTTTTAGGAGACAGTTTCATTCTCCTGTGCACGCTAGAGTGTTGTGGCATCAACCTAGCTCACACCAACCTCAAACTCCTGGGTCCCAACACTCCTCCTGCCTCAGCCTCCTGAGTAACTGAGACTACAGGCACCTGCCACAATGCCCATCTAGTTTTTCTATTTTTTAGATGGGAGTCTCGCTCTTGTTCAGGCTGGTCTCAAACTGCTGAGCTCCAGGGATCCTCCTTCCTCAGCCTTATGTTGAACATTTCCGTGTGTTGATAGGTTGAACATCTCCACATGTTGATAGGTTTGTTACAGTCCCCTGGGTGGTCAATTCACAGAGGTTCCACTGTATATGTTTTTCATCTTTTCAAGTAGCTTATAGATTTTAGCTGTAGAATAACATGCTTTGCAATATGATTCACAGTCTGCCTGCACTGGAATCATCTAAAGTGCTTTATGAAAATGCAGATTCTTAGCCCCATCCCTGAGATTCATATAGTAAGTTCAGGAAGGATACATTTTTAACAGGCAACCCAGGCGGTTCTTATACTTGCAGAGTTTGAGATCCATTGTAGTGGCAGAATAGATACTGGAATTATAGTGTTATGGGTTGTTTTTTTAACACACCAGGTACTTGCAAGGTCTATGTTTGGCACGTGGAAGGTTCTCACTAATTGCTTGTTGGATTAAGGAATGAATAAATCTGACTTTAGAAGGAAATTCAGTTGTGGGAAATCTTCTGTACTCAATGGAAATATTTGCAATTTTCACTAAATGTGAAATACTAACTTCAATTAATATAATCTGCGTTCCCTCATGAGTTAAACTGCTTAAATCTCCTTTGGATTTTGCTTCTTCCTAAGATAATGTCATTTTAATTTACTTTGATTGTAATGAAATATATCAAATTGGTTCAAAACTCTCCAGGTGTTCTTTAATTCAGTGTAGACCTTCTCCTGGGTGGAAGCTAGAAAAATTCCCTCCAGTTATAACTATAAAAGAATACCAAGATTATTTTATAAGCTAGGTAAATATTTTTATAGGGAGAACTAAAGAGGTTTAGTGTTCTAACATATTGTTAATTCAACAAATATTTACCGTACTTAAACACACAGGTTATTATTGTAAGTTGTACGTACCAGATGCCAGTGATTTCCTCTTGCTCCCTGGGAATACTAATATTTTTACCTCTTTGTTTAATGATTTATGGAGGTTCTTTTTGCTCCCTAGCATGGCCCATTTAAGGGTGAGTGATTCTAGGTAGACACCTTTGATTCCTGACTTTAAAAGACCTCCAACTTGACCGGGAGTCAGGAGTCATGGCTCATGTCTGTAATGCTAGCACTCTGGGTGGCTGAGACACAGGAAAATCACTTGAGCTCAGGAGTTCAAGATCAGTCTGAGAAACAGCAGGACTCCCTCTCTATTAAAAATAGAAAAACTAGGGCGGTGCCTGTGGCTCAAAGGAGTAGGGCACCAGCCCCATATGCTGGAGGTGGTGGGTTCAAACTCAGCCCTGGCCAAAAACTGCAAAAAAAAAATTAGAAAAACTAGCCAGGCATAGTGGCGGGTGCCTGTAGTCCCAGCTACTCAGGAGAGTGAGGCAGGAGGATTGCTTGAACCTAAGAGTTTGAGGTTGCTGTGAGCTGTGATGATGCCACCACACTCTACTTAGGGCGAAAGAGTGAAACTCAGTCTCAAACAAAACCCTCTCATTCACAGAGCTTCTATCAATGTAAGTCAACAGCTAAGCTTCATTCTAGTCTACGTCTTTCTAACAAATGTTGTCTTGATTTCTTTGCTAACCTTACTTTGACTTTGAGCATGTGAAAAGGGAAATATTTTCCAGAACACATCCTTCTACACAGACCCAGCAGATTTTCCCTAAGACTGTTGAATAAACTGGGCCACAAGGCCCACCCCCCAGCCATTAGAAAGACAGAGAAAGCATTTGAAAATAACTTACTGTAATCCATCATATGAATAGGCTTAGGAAGAAAAACCACAATAATATATCCATAATATTTATACAATACCCATAAATGTGTAAAAAGCATTTCACAGAATCTAATACCTTTTTAGGATAAAAGCTCTCAGCAAACTAAGAATCAGGGGGAGTGTCCTTAACTGGACAAAGGGTACAATCTACAAAGAAACCTACAGCTAACATCACACTTTATGGTGAGAAACTAAAAGCTTTTCTGATAAGGTCAGGAACAAAACAAAGATGTCCCCTTTCCCACTCCTTTTCAACACTGTACTGGAAATCCTAGCTAATGCAATAAGACAAGAAAAGTAAATAGCTGGGCATTGTGGTGGGTGCCTATAGTCCCAGCTACTTGGGAGGCAGAAGCAACAGAATTGCCTAAGCCCAGGAGTTGGAGGTTGCTGTGAGCTGTGATCCCACGGCTCTCTTCCTAGGGAAATAAAGTGACTCTGTCTCTTAAAGAAAAAA